ATCGTCTGCTTTTTTATTTGATTTTGCTCTGACGATTTTTTATTAATGCTTATGTTAGCCTGATTTTTTATGACATGTGGAATTCTATTTTTGTAATTATGGTTTTTACGTTGATAGAAGTTGTTTAAAGTGAAAAAAATTTTTTTTTCAAAAAATCAAACAGCGGTCGCTATAGCAACACATGCAAAGACGACGCATGCGCACTATTTACTACTACTCCTGAACACAGTTGAAAAGTGTGAAAAGTCCAAATAAGGTGCCCACGCCATCAAGTCCAAAACGACACCCATTTTGACAATGATTGACAATTTATTAACCGATTCAAATTTTATTTTAAAGGGATTAAAAAGAAAACTGCCTTCTTTAACCAAAAAGCTGATCCAAAAATTCTCCTCTTGGTTACTTAGCAATAGAGACACTCGATGTCTTGCAGTCTTGTCATTCATTTAGTTTCTATTGATTTCAATTGTTTCACTTTTTATGGCGAGGAAATTTGGCATTTTTTTAAATTTTTGTCATTTATATAAAACTTTATTGAGACCCAATTTTTTCGAAATTTTGTCTACCCTCATTATTTCAAGGGTCAGGATTCCAAATATGTAAAAAAAAATTATGTTTATTCAGAGAAAGTAGGTTTATGTGTCTGATTTCATAATTTAATTAATAGTTGGAGCTAATTAATAGGCATAGTTGAGGTCACCCCTAGGAACCATTACGATTGTCACTTAGTTCGTGAAAATTCGATCATTAGAACAAACGTTATTCAGGGTGATAAGGTTTGGGTATATTATCATGCTGAAACCATTTTCGGATAGAGCCAAATTGGTTAAACCACCCGTGACGTAGCTTGTAAGGGACCATTTAAAATTTTCTTTTCCAATTTCCTTTTTTTCCCACCGACCTTATTACTAATGTTCCTGGGTTTTTTTTTCCCTCATTAGATTCTTCATAAATTATTAGTATTCATCTCAACAGAATCTGTGCTTGTTTCTCGCAGTCAATATTGGGTTAAAACCTGTCCCAGAAATCATCTTTCAGTAATAAATCAGAAAATTTTATACTGAAAGATGATTACTGAAATCAGACGATCGTCTGATTTCTGTATTAAATCAGACGATTTCATCTGATTTTCAGTATTAAATCAGGCGATTTCATCTGATTTTCAGTATTAAATCAGATGACGATTCAGAAAATGCTATTCTCATAGTTATAAGATAAAATGACAACAATGAAAATCCAAATGCAATACAAATAAACACAAAATGTCCTTTCATCCATCTTTCGGTATTAAAAAAAATATCGCTATTTTTTTAACCTCTCTTATGGGTGGATGATTGTGAAAGAATATTTTGACCCAGAGCACCTTTCCCGTATCTGATAACACTGGAAAACTAATTTTGCAATGCACAGAAGAAAGTAATCTTACTGCATATATGACTGTCATAGCGTTAAAAGGATTCTCTTTTTATGATGTTGATTCTTAGACATTATTGTTATTGATTTAGTTATTATAACTCATTTTTTTCTTTTCAGCTTTGATTATGAATTGAGTCAGAAAATTGTACGGCAACAACTGAATGAACTGGCAGAAGAAGATGACAATATCCCGGTCCAGTTGAGAGCATACCAAGTACTGTGTCTCTACATGGGCTTCTTGTACGGAAAGAAGCACCCCTCTTTTTATTACGCAATTATTCTTCTCATTCTATGGAGTTCCATTCCGGATCCCTTTCTGACCTTCGATGACTTCGAGAAAAGCTTCGCTTGGATGGATTTAGACACCCTGATGAAAACAACTAAAGCCTGGGAATGGTACTACGTATTGGTGAGAGGTCCAGACAGCCAAGAGGATGGGCCAAGATCATTACAGCATCTCGCCAGGTGTACCATTAGGCGCAGTTTGAAGGAGTGCTTTCAGCTGCCCAACGGAATCGAAAGGTTGGACATTCCCAAACGTCTAAAACAATATTTAACCTTGGGAGATTTTAAAAATGGACTCACTCTTAATGGAGAAGAAAATAATATGATTGAGACTTTATTTCAATACCGCCAACAGTTTTTGCAATAAAATTCTTATAACTTCGTAGCTTTTATAGTGTTGATCAATATTTTTATTTCAATGCTTTATTTTCCTTATTTTTCTAGCCTTTTTTCTGTACACATGCATCATACGAGAAAAATGTAAATACTATTTTATTTCGGGAGATGTCAAAAAATCGCCAAATTATCATTAACGCAGATGCTATTTTATTAATTTATTTTACAATAGGTTTTGAACAACAGAAAAATTATATACCTTACAATAAAAAATTGTAAGTATACACTAAATTTTATTTTTTGCTTTGATTTTGCTTTAGGTAAACAAATTTTACAATTGCATGCGAAAAATTTTTAAATTCGCCGAAGAAGTTCTCGAGATATAGCGAAATAAGCAAAAAAATAAATTAACAGTAGGGTTTTCAAGCTTTGAAAGGTTCTCCTAACCAAACTTAATGGATCATATTTACCAGATTCCGGCTACCCTTTATATTTTGAGGGTCAGAAATGCGAATCCGTAGGGAAAATATTCAGTGAAATTAAGATTTTATGTCTGATTTCGACTTAAAATATCGTCTGCACTAATCAATTAGCCTATTTGAGATCACCCTCTCAAACAATGAAGTTTAAGAAGATGAAGATCCGATCATTAGATCAAAAGTTATTCAGGGTGGTTAATTTTTTTTTTTTTTGGAGCACTGCTCAGTCGAACTCAATAGTTACGACTTATTAATTATTAAATTCAGTACATACTACTTTTATTTCTTATTTCCGCATAGTAAAGAAGAAGTTTAATATTTTGCTTTTAATAACTGTTGTTTAAAAACCGACCCAATTTTGGTTTTACGAGTGCTAATTTTCAACTTCTTAGCCTTGTAATTTTGAACCCAATCCAAAAAGCAAGAAAACTATCGGATCAATTATTAGGTATTCGAACCCGGTTCACGTTATTGGGAGGCGAGCGCTCTATCCCCAAAGCCACCACAACTCTAATAATTTGCTTTGAACTGTCTTGTCTTTTTGCTATGTTATTATTCTTCGGGTGAGATTCATAGAACGAAAAACATCGTCGACATAAAAAAAGGTCCATCCGGAAAACATCAAATAGATATTTTTCTAAAAACAAATTAAATAAGCTGGCGAAATGAAATTAGGCAGATCACAAAAATATTGCCCCCTAAAAATAAGAATTAATATTGAATAATTAATGAATATTATGAAATGCTTTATAAATAATAATAAAACATTGGGGGAAATTTTTAACAAAATTTTTTTTAAAAAGTGTTAAAAAACTTAGTAAGTTAATTAGTGTTTTATAACAATATTTTTAAACAGCGTAGCTGCTTAATTAATAACATTTTCCTCACAACTTCAACCAGTAAAACTTTCAAATGTTATCCGCTATTTAGTATTTTTCTGGAAATTTTAGAAAGGAGTTTGAATAAGGAATAAATCATCCTGCAATGCAAAACGCTGTGTTGAAATTCGTTTTCCTTACAAGCCAAAAATGGCTTAATTATAATTAAGTTTAATAATTATTAAAAATTACTTTTAAACAAATTATTTACTTTTTAGGTGCGTGTTAATATTCTCTGATTCTCTTAAATAGTTCTAGAGATATTGTGATATAAGCAAAATGAAAAATTAACAATAAGAGGATAAAAAAATGTGCCTGTCTGGAGAAAACATATTTTCATAATTTATATATCATAATTTATAAAACGATTTCATAATTTATATATCTTGTGAAGCGATTAAATTTAATTCTTTAACAGTTTTGTTTAAAATAAAGCTTTTTAGTATTTGGCATGTGTGGGGTGAAAAAAGCGCGATTAGCATGAAAGAATTTGTGCCTTACTAATTCTTTGAAGCTAATCTTAATTTATTGAATTAAAATGCAGGTAATGTTTTTTTAGATAATATTTTTAATAATTTTTTTAAGCTTAATCGATATTGATGTAGATAATTTTTATGAGAGTTGAGACAGCACTCATTTTACTAATTTAATTATAATTAATAATTTATTCAATCGTTTATCTTTTTTTTTCAATGATAAATAAATAGTTAAAGACTTTTATTTCTAAATTTTTATGTAACAGCACAGAAGGAATACAATATTCTATATGACTTCTTTGAAAGATATATTTATGATATTCTTCTTATTAAATAATTAAAAACTAATATTTATATTATTATTTCTTGAACTTTCTATTATTATAGAAGATAACTGTTCCAGTAGTTGTGTGTATATATATATAAATAATCAACCAGGGAATACTGTAAGGCTCCCTAGTAAGTACTTTACCTAGGGTTTCCCCCTTAAAACAAATACATATTGAGAAAAAAATTATTCAACAATCAATCACAAGAACTATTTCCTTCCCATTAGGGTTTATATTCTGCTACAAAGGTAAATTTTCACTTTTAAAACATTTTTTTTTAATATAGACTCTTAATTTTGTAGTTTCCGATCTAAAACATTATATCAATAAAGGTCCATTGTTTCATTAATTCATGTTAAGCCACCAACACAAAAAGAGAAGTAATAATGCAATGACGGATTGAAAAAATGAATATAATTCAGAACAAAAAAATTAATAAAACAATAATATCTGCAAGTCAAGAAAATATTTACTAATACAACGTTTCAGAACTAGAGCAGTGGAAGCATTTTTTTCATTATTAAAGGTAAATCAAAATATTAGAATTTATGACAGTTTTAAAGTTTTCAATAACACTAAAAAGAAGGGAAAAAATAAAAATATAATAAACAGTAAGATTAGTTTATTAGTCACCAAAAGTTCTTAACTTCCCTTCTTGGAAAACATGCAAATTCGTTTGCTCCTTAATTATTTTGAATAAAGTTAAAGGGGTGAAGTTTCCCCCCTTCCTGTCTCTTAACTTTCGGCGAAATCAAGTTAAAAATCACCATTCTGAAAAGGCCGCACATTCTATGAAACTGTAGGAATTATAGGGTTAATAGGGCCACCATGAATTGTCTCGCTATTGTCAGAATCGTCAAGCAGAATGAGACCACACATAGCCATTCGTAGACAAACCATTCTATAGCCTATACTTATTGTTACAATAGATAAAATCCAGGTGTACGATAAAGGCGTGACGTGAATCGAGTTAAATCTAGTCCTCACACGTTATTTCTCATATACTCACTTAAAAATTTATTTAAAGTTCATGTCCTTCTGTCTTCGTAAGACGTCTATTCCGAATAGGAAGTAGTAAAATATGGAATGTTTCACACCAGAAGAATCTGAGTTCATGAAAATTGCTTATTTGAAAAGAACACCGAATGATAAACCTTTAGATGAATATTTTCTTTATAATATTTATAACGAAGCTGTATTTTTGGACTACCCAGATAAACTAAAAGAGCTTCTTGAACTTGCGAATGGAATGAAATTGGACTTTCTACAGTTATTCAAAAATAAGCCGCACATGAATGCTGATCTATCTCACATTTCTTTGATACGCAATCCCGAAAATTACATACTGATTACTGAATTTGGTGGAATGAACGAATATTACAGTCACGTGTGTGGATTATATTTATTTAGGGCATCAGCCGTACTGTTTGAGTAAGTTTCCTTTAGCGTTATGAATTAGTAAGTTATTTTTATTGCAATTTAGTGTATTTTAATTCTTGATAACTTTTGATTCACTGATTAGTTCCATGGATTACTCTTTAAAATACTAAAATGTTAAATCTAAAGGGTTTATATATATATATATATATATATATATATATATATATACCATACAATGAACCTAAAAGTTGAGCCCACCTCTTTCCTGGGTATNTATATATATATATATATATATATATATATATAAATTATTAAGAAATTTAAACAAAAAAAATGCACTTTCACCAAATAAACTTACCTTTTTTCTGACAAACTAAGGTTCTTTTCCCTCGAAATATTGGTCGTAAGCTTGAGATTCATGAATATAACTACACTTTTTCAACTACACTTTTTTGTACAAAAATATTTTTGTTTATGTAATTTTTTGCTCTTTAACGTTGTCTACCTTAGTTTGTATTTTAGCACGAAGGTCGCCCATTTGTGTATTTACACTTTTTTGTATTTCTAATTTTCATTTCTCAAGAGCTATTTGATTAATTTCTTTCAAATTTTACAGTTTTTTTCTTCGAATGGTGTAATTAAAAGTGACGCATATAATTGCATACATTATAATCCCCAAAAAGTAGTAATAATAAGTACTAATAAAAAATTATAAATAATTACATGTAATAATTTTTATTTTTCGAAGAATTATTAAAACTTTAAAGGCAATCGGTTGCATAATATTTGTAAATAAAAGTTTAAAATAAAAGTACGACTTCTTTCAAAAAGCGAAAAAAGCTAAAAAAAAAAAAAAAGAAAGAAACATTAATTAAAAATCGAAATTTCTGACAGAATTATAGGACTGCTATTTTCCTTGTATTGGAAAAACTATATTTTCTACCACTGTCTCTAATAAAAAGGTTGGGGTTATGTAAACTTAAACTGAGTTAACTTTTCTTAAGCTTATATAATTCTTCTTCTCACGCCCACAGGAACCCTCCTTTATACAAATCCAATTATTTATTTGTTTTGTTGATAGCAATTTACTTTATTATACTAAGAGTTATGACACTTGTTCGCTGCCAATCACCAATGCCGAATATTACTTTACAATAATTGTTGTTTCTTATCATAAAATAGTTTTTTCTACGACAGTTGAAATTATTCACTTAAAATATATGTAAGAATTCTGATTGCTTACGCTTATTTTACTCCCTCCGTTGAACAGCTGATCCAATTTTGAGTTTGAACCGACTAACCTTCAGTTAAGTCTTTTTGATAAACTGACCCGTATTTGCGTAACATAAAGAAGAAAACCGCGAATACCTCCCACAATTAGTCTGATAGTGAGGGAATTCCAGCCCATACGTCTACAACTGAAGCTATTTTACGTCAGCACTGTGATCGGTGTGAGCCAGAAACAAAATTCGTATCGATCAGCCATCTTTGGTGTTTGAACACCGGTCAACTCATTGGAAGACGAGAGCTCTATCCCCTGAGCCACCATGGCTCATGTATAATTAATTCTGATAATAAAGTACAACTGGTGCTGAGACTATAAGTGCCTAATGTTGAAGAATAGATAAAGTGGTAACAGGTTATTTTTTTTGGTCGGCCAAAGCGGAATAGTACCGAAATATGTAAAAATCAAAGTTTTTATAAAATGCATACGTGTTCCATAAAATATTTCTTTAAAGAAAGGGTGAAAGAGTCTGAAGCAACCTAGCATTGTTTTAAATTAGTATTCATTATATTATTTGTTGTTTTAGCATTGATGAAGAAATGAGAGATGAAATACATAGCGCATTTCTTGATGAGGAGGAAGTCGATGTTTCATTCAAGTTGAGATCATACCAACTCTTCTGTCTCTACCTTCACTACAGGTATGGAAAAATACTTCCCCCTTTCCATTACGAACTTGTTTTTCGAATTCTGTGGAGCTCCATTCCGGACCCCTACATCACCATCGAGGAGTTCACCAGAAGCTTCAACTGGGCGAAACCACAGACCTTTCGGAAAGCAATGAAAGCCTGGGACTGGTACTGCAAATTGGTGAGAGATCCTGACAGTGAGGGGAAATGTCCAAGATCATTGCAACATCTGTCCAAGTGCATCATTAGACGCCAGTTGCAGGAGTGCTTTCAATTGCCCAAGGGAGTCGAAAAGTTGGACATTCCCAAATGTCTGAAGCAATATTTGCTTTTAAGAGACGTTTAAATTGAACTCCAGAACGAAAAAAGGATCTCAGAGCAGTTCTTCTGTTGGATCTAAATGCAGAATATAGAAGATCTAATAAAGTTATTATTATCATCATCTCTTATTATTTATGTCCGGTTTCAGTGTTCTTATTTGATAGTTGTAGAATTTGTTCTCAAAATTGAGGAAATGGTCACATTTAATTTTGTTTTTAATTTACCACTGAGAGTTGTTTATTTGAATCAGTCCGAAACATTTTTTTAATATATTTCCTTGCGATATTAATAAGCCTTTTCATCTCATTTCTTAAAAACCAAGATTTCACAACCATAAGTTACTAAAGATCTTATAACTCTTTAATAAATTTTATATTTAATTTCCGTGGTAATGAATTTGATCTAGAATAAATATTTATATGAGTAGTGGCTTTTATTTCTTTTTTTGAGTTCTCGAGTCAGTTTCTTCCAGCATAATATTATTATCGTTGATTATAATATCAAGGTAAGTGAAACTGGAAAACCTTTCAAATTTAAAGTTATTTACCGGTGATAAATTTTCATTAAACTCGAAACGTTTTGAAGGAATAGTTTTATAATTTTTCTTTACGAAACGATGGTTATTTAATTTCCAGAACTGTTTTTACATAATTCTTCTTTTTTTTTTAGCTTTATAATAAAATTTCAAAAATTGTGGGAATTCTAGTGCCTTAAGCTAAGATTGCTAATGATCCTTCTTCTTCCTTGTCATCAAATATAAGATAATCTCCTTAAAGTACTTGCACAATATATGGACGGCTCTTAAGTTGAAGTTTAGCGATATTTCAAAGTAAAGACTTTTTAAATATGTATTTGGAGAAGATGCAATTTGAATCGTTTCTCCTGTTTAAAGAATAGAACGTTTTTCACTATAAAAACCAACTAAATCAAAACTGAAAATTCCTGATTAACTGAGTTTCACCAGTTAGGACAACAAAACAAGTTTCAATAACGGAATTTTGAAGTTCTAAAAAGCTTAATTA